TTCTTTCGTCCAATGAGAGAGATCAAAAAACAACAATCGAAGTATGGTTCTTTGTTTTGATTTGATTTTTTTTTATTAAGTCATAATAATCAATTTTAATATTGCAATAAAAATTCAAACTGTCATGTGTGACTCTTCTCTGTATGAATATTTATCCATTTTGAGTTGAAAAATCTTAACTCATAGCAACAATTAAAACAGTCTTGCTAGCGAAATGCAAGAATATTTTATAATTTTGTTTCATTTTGTCCTTGTAAAGTGCATCGCAAAATTTGCGGAACTTCAACACATAATATAGCAAAATTAAGAATTAAGTGTAGCAGGAATCAAACAACAATACTTTCATTCCTTTTGTCGAAAGTTTCACAACTTTTGTGCTGCCCTGGACGATGCATTCGCTATGAAGAAGAATGAATGGCAACCTCATCAGAAAATTTTAGTTTTCAATCATGCGTTGAAAGCTTAATTACCGCACAGTCTAAATCCATTTTAATTTAATTCACCCAAATTTTAAGCTTGGTTGTGTGTGGAGGTGTGCACGTTGCGTGCGTGTTCAGTGATTAGGCAAGGGGCAATTCATCACTGTGTGGATGCATGTGCGCCGCAAAACCAAAAGCATTTTGCTCCCTCGCCAGCCGAATTAATGGAAATATCCATCGGCGTCCATCAAGCGGCGGCTGTCAGGGCCGTGCTTTTAATTCTCGCGTTTGACGTGTGCGCGGTGAAATATTGTCCACTTTATTGGCCACTCGTCAATCATGCCGATTTGCACGCCGGCTAATGTGCTTTGCAAATAACTGATTGCGCTTTTGTGGCCTCTGACGCCTACGGCAGCTGCTCGCGATCCAAACTCGCCACAATTATTTCCATTTATTGTGGATATACGGGTCTGTGATTGCCATTCATTCAGCGAACACGCCACTGACGTCTAATTTGTTTGTCTATTGCTGCGTTTGATCACAATGTTTGTTGATGGATTTTCACATAAAACTCTCTGACAAATTTTATTACATGTTTGAAAATCAAATAAATAGAGCTGGAAATTTTTAATCAACAATAATAATAAGGAACGTTAAAAAAGGTGGAAAGGAAAAATTAAAATGCTAGACAAGAGAGGCCTCAAATTAATGCATGCAGTGTTTCATAACTTTTTGTTTATTATAAAAATTGAATAATAAAATATGTAAATAAAATAGAAAATTAAAGTTAGAAATGAATATTTAAAAAATGCAGCAAGCGATATACAATCCAATTACAACTCTAAACTTCAATTTCCCCAACCTCAACCAACAAAGCTCTAAACAAACTTCTTTCCATAATTCTCTTTTTTCTTTAACTTTATTTTCCGGTGAAGTTAGTGTCAGTATTTTTACTACACGTAAGCCTCCTGGCCACTAATCCTTATCAAAATTTTGTTTATTTAGTTCGGCTGAATATTTTCATTATCATTTTTTATTTGTGTGACAATTCTAAATAATTTTCCTAGAGATTCATCTCTACCTTTTCTTTCAACTTGAGCATTTCAAATTTTAATTATATTCAAAACTATGTTTTTTTTACGACTTAAATATTTCAAAATAGCTGCAACATCAAAATAATTCAATAAAAACTAAATTTTCATTATTCCCATAAATTCTTGAATTTATGTTTTTTGGTTAAACTTTGCAGCAATTAAATTTAAATAAAAATTGATGCACCTTAGTGCAATCAGTCTCTTGTCTTAATTCGCCACCATAAATCGCTCTCGCCTTTCCGAGAGTTGGAAACAATTTAAAACGTGTTATCAGATTGGCGAGCGCGCTGCTTGAATTACACATAAATTGTGTTGGGCTGCGCGATTTATATCTCTCGGAGAATTCCTGAGCCCGTTGACGGCCAAGTCTTTATTGGTGCGAGGTAGGTGGATCGCACCTATACCAATTTTACACACGGCTTGTGTGTCCTGGAGCCATTATAAAGTCTAGGTTGCCGCGAGAGTTAGACATAAATCTCGTCGGGGCTGCAGCGCAGATTAAAATGGAGTTGGCGGTGTGTGGTGGCAAAAGAGGTTGGCGCTGCTTTTATATCACTCGCGCGCGCACCCCAGCCGTGTGTGTAATATATGTGCCTGTAAAGTGAGGCGGCCAAAGTTATTATCAGACCTGCGGCAGATTCGCCTGCAGAAATGTTTATTTCGGCGGCGGCAAAGCCCATCATAAAATCTTTTATGCCTTCCTTAAAATATTTGAACAGTCATTAAACACTGCCATGGTGACAGCCCCCTTTATATTTATGTGCATGTGTGCGCACTACAAATAATGTGTGCATGCAAATCCGTCTCATGATTTATTCGCAGATAAAATATGGAGCGGTGAATTATTGCCAAGCGTCGTAAAAGCGAGCGACATTTCGACTCTCGCGCTTAATATTTCATAAGCGGCGAAACGCGCCCTTCGGTGTTGCGTTCGTTCGGCAGACGTGACCTGCAATTAATGGCCGGGATCAGACCTGAAGTTTTGCCGGTTCATCGCACACACTTTAGCCACGTGGGATTATAGCTGACAGCTGACGTTGAAGATGATAACTGATAACAAAAATGTGCCCTTCTTAATTCTGAAGATTTTTTGTTTAAATTTTATTACTATATAAAATATTTTTTAAGAAAGATAATTTTGAAATTATTTTTGTTTAATAAGCGAGACATTAATTCAAGTAAGATGAACATTTACAAGAAATTTTATGAAAATAAGAATAAATGTCAATGTTGGTAAATATAAATGCATCAAAAGATGGGTTAAATTAAAAGTAAATGATATTTTTTAAAACAACCAAAAATTTTGCAGGCCATGTTCTTTTAATTTTGATTTCTTTTGGACTGAATTAATTTAAGCTTAAAACGAGATTAAAATTTTGCAAAATTTTAGGGAGACATAAACGGAACCAAGCTCAAATTAAAAATTCTCCCTTCATTTTGATTGAAATTAATTAGTACTCATCACTTGAAAATAATGCGAATGAAATCAATTTTGAGCCAATAATCTAGCAAGCTATACAAAACAGTAAATTTGATGCTTTCCAATGTTAAATAATTCCTCCTATTAATCCAAGCTACTATATTATTTTTAAAATTCAAAGTTTATTTTTGATTTAAATAATCTTGAATGTCATTCTGAACAAACGTCAAGACACAGTAGTCACGGCGCCTTTTCTGGCTTTTCTCCCTTTTTGCTGTGCGTGTGTTTGCTCTTTGGCAATGTTTTCTGTTCAATCACCCTGTGATAAATTACACGACACGCCAACTGACAGCTCTGAAATGAAAAAGGGTTTAAAGAGCGTGTGGTGCTGCCACCGTTGATTCGCGTTCATTTGCCTCTGAATAACAGAAAGCAGTGCAGAGAGCGAGTTCATGTGCACACGAGCTGCATATTCGCGCGAGGCACACACGTGTCACTCACCAGTCAGTCGGACGCGAATGGAAACTAATTCTGCTGAAATCAACTGCCGCACACCCGTCGATCCATTTTTCTCCGACCCACCGCGAGTTGTGTGCACATTATTATTATATTTGGCTTGATGTTTTCCATTAAGTTGTCACTGTGTAGTTGAGTGGCAAAAAGTTTCTTTTTAAATCAGCAGCCAGAGAGAAAATCGATTAAAATTTTCATAGCATGTATTGCATCTTACGTTTGGTGATTTAATTTCATTTTAATGAAATACAAGTGTATCAATCAATTTATAAATTGATGTTTCTTATTAAAAATTATGATTGTTAATTTGTCAGTGTTAGTGCGTTTTTTGTATTTTATTTTTTAGTCCAAATTTATTATTTATAATTGAATAGAGAATGTAGGATATTTCCATATCACAGGATAAATTAATCATCATAAAAATACCAAAGAAGAGTATCAAACTGGTGTTTTAAGGACCAGTAAAATAAATTTTTTTTTTCATTCTCTGTCAATTCCACGAGCATAGGTGAATATCTCAATCAACTCATCTTTGCATTTAATTTTATTATTTGTCTAGAAGTTTTCCCACAAATTTCATTTGGAATATTCATCTGCATCGAACAAATGAAAACAAGGGCCCAAAAAACATTTGCTCCCTAACTCATTTCTCACCATGATTGCATTCCAGAAGAATAAATTTATTTGCTAACCAAACACACACCCAACTTTTTGCATGCGGCCATAACTCACGCCGGTTGTTTTTTATGCGTCATTTGAGCTGTTACTTGCAATGATAATTTACGTCCGACCATTGGCAATAAATAATCAAAGCCAGAAAAGTAATAAAAAGCGGCGGCACCAGTTTTGTTGGCCCGTGGGGCCGTTGTAAATTATTAGTCTCATTAAAATTTTTGATACATGGCCTCGGATGTCACATAATGGTGAATATAATGTCGCACCACATACATCATATCTCCGCTAGAGAGAGTGATGTTTTGCTCCCCTCGAAATTATATTCACCCTTGGCAGAAATTCGGGGCCCCGCGAGAGAGGGACCCATCCATTTATTCGCAGTCTAGCGCGCTCGAAACAAATGGCAGATTGTAGCCAATCTTCGCTGCGAGCCATATTTCACAGAGAAGTTAGGTGCCTAATAAAGGCGGGCGCGATGAAAAACGGCCGAGAGCCGCCGTTGAAATATTGTTGTCGTGGCGCTAAATAAAAAAGCGGCGGCGGCGGCTCCTTGGCGCAGGAAGGAAGAGGCTTCTCTGCTCAAATGCAAATGCAGCCGACAATATAACAAACGCCGCTGCAGGAAGATGGGCCAAATTTACGAGGTCGTTCCCCGCATAAATTATAAAACCTGCTGCCTTTTGCAGTTTAAAATAAAGTCGTAATCGGTTGGCCAAAGATGTTCTTTCATTGCAGATCTGGTTTAATTTTGCAGTTTTGGATTTTTTTTTTTTTTTGCCATTTTCAGTTCTTTCTAACAATAAGAATTATGATGAAAAGATATATTTACTGAGCAAATTTTACTACTTCAGGATTACGCTACATCACCGAGTTATAGACAGAACTGCCGATTAAGGATTAAAATTGGTTTAATACAAGAAACATCAAACTCTTGGTTTTATCATTCAATGCCGCAACGCCAACCACCCTTGTTGACACTTTCTCATTGAATTTTTTGTGTTGACGTATTTTATTTCAGTGACCAATTTTATTAATCTATTTTTCAAATTAAATATTCATATGCTTTAAGTTAAGCTAACAATCTCTTTTCAAGCCTTCAACACTTTTAAAATAAAAGGAACATATCTTGTTTTCATTTTCAACAACAGGTTATAAAATGCAAATTATTTTTGCATTTAAAACTTAAAATAAAAGCACAGGCATGTAGGTGCTAGACAGGTACTTACAATTAGTTTCTTCCTTCAGTTGATTTGCATGGATTTTGGTTTGGTGCCCCTGTTGTGAAGTCCACTTGTTCGGCTCTGCAAAAAGAGCATTGAGTACGTCAAGCAAATCTTTTGCAATATTCCTTACCCTCTTGGCCTTTGAGGGGGCATCAAGGCTTGAAGTGGCAGGCATCTTTGTGGGTGTTTTATTCATCTCTGGCAGTGGAGTATTTATTTGGAATTTGGGTTTTCTTGGAATATCAGCGAACATGTCCTCACTAATATTATCTTCATCATCTGATTCAGAAACCACTCCTTTTCCCCAGCTTTGCAAGGGAGACTGTGAATGAGAGATGTTTGATTATTTAAAAATTTAAATTTAGCATTATTTTTTATTGAAAAAAGTACTTTTCTGGTTGAGATGGTTGGAAGCTCATTTCTAGTTTTAGCTGGCGTTTTCGGTGGTATTTTCTGATAAGAGCTGAGAGAAGAAGAATCATCATCCTCAAAATAGGGAATATATTCATTGTTGATGGAGAAAGAGATAATTCTATCATTCTTCTTTGATGACTTTGGTTTGCTGGCATCCCTAAGAATGGACTAGAAAATAGTCTTTTAGCTAACATGCACCTCAAACATAATTGCCTTCAAACCTTATTTTCAGGCATTTGGAGCCGCTTCAGCTTTGGAGTATCTTTTTTCAACTTGTTTTGCTTTTTGAGTCCATATGTTGACAAGGCCGAGCTTTGGCTGATTTCACTTGTCTGGGACTTGAGTTTGTTGATTTCAACCTCTTTTCTGGTCAGTTGTACTTCAGATTCCTTGATTTTCTCCTGCAGTTTCAGCTTATGCGACTCCTTAAATTAATTAACCATGAGTTTTAATCAAGATTATCTTAGATCCAAGGTAAATTATACAAATCGAGATCCAACATCATTGAGGCTTTTGATGGTTTCTGCGAGTTGAGCATTGAGCTTTAAGACCTTGGCCTCTAGATTGGACTTGTCTCTCTCCATTTGTTCATAATCTTTTTCAAGTTTGGTTTTTTCAGATTCCATTTCTACCAGCTGAGCGTCCTTTGCTTTCAACTCTTCCTCACTCCCAGATTTTGCATCCTAAAACAATAAGTTTTTAAATAATTTCATGGACACACTCATGCTATCTGCTATAGCCACAGTTGTTCGGTTTCAGCAGAATCTGCCCTTCTCCGTCCCCGGGCAGAAGATAAAAAAAAGTACAGAAAAAAGGAATAATAATATTTAAAAGGTGTTTACAGAGATCAATTTTTCCAATTCTTCAATTTGATCATCTTTTTCTTTGATAATTTTCTCAAAGTCACTGATGGTCTGGTCTTTCTTTTCACTGTCTTTCATTTTTTCAGATTTTGCCTTTGCTATTTTATCTTCAAGCTCCTTCTTTTCCTTCTCTAAGCTTCTATTCTTGCTCTCCAGTCGCTCAAACTTGTTTTCAGCAGTTTTATTTTTGGACAAGGCAGATTTAAGGTTCTTTTCCAAATCCTTCTTCTCCACAAGCAACGTCTCTCGCTCGTCCTGCGCCTCTTGCAGTTGTCCTTTAAGGGATTCTATTTCATCCTCTTTATTTTTGGCACCATCTAGCAGCACTTCCTGAGACAACTTCAGCGCTGCAATTTCTGTTTCTTTGCCACCAATTTCGTCTTGCAGGGTCTCAATCTTGTATTTAGCAGCTTTTTCTTGGTTCTCGAGGGTTTCCTTCAACTCATCAAGCATGCCATTCAGAACACCTTCCTGAAATATCATTTTATGTTGAAAATAAAAAGAATTAAAATAGTTAATTTTCTTTATTTACCTGAGCAGTCAAATTCCCTATAATCTTTTCTTTTTCAACAATTTTTTCTTTCATCAAAGCCAAAGATCTGCTAAGTTGTGCCACCTGAGCTGACATTTCTCCAGATTCTGCTGCACTGGAGCTCTTTAGAATATCAAGCGAATCTTTCAAGCTATTTTTCTCTTCCCTTAAAATATAAAAACAAACAAAATGCCATTGAACAGCACCTTTTTTTTTAGTATTTTCAAGACTTACACTTCAAGTTTCATTTTCTCTTGAAGCCTAAGCATCTCGTTCTTGCCTGCTTGAATTTCCTTAGCCAAATTTTGCAGTTCATTTTCCATACTTTTGTTTTTCTCCTCCAAGGTTTCAGCCTCTATAGAACTCAAGTGCAATTTTTCTTCTTTTTCTTTCAATGCAGTTTGATTTTCCAACAGAAGAGCTTCAAGTTTCTCACACTTTGAATTGCCAAGGTCGCACTTCCTAAGCAATTCATCTATCTCAATTGAAGCTCCAGAAAGTTTGGCAGTGAGGTCTTCAATTTGCCTTTCTAGAGCAGCAATCAATTGCACTTTTTCCTCCAGCTGAATCTTCTCAGTCATCAAGGTGCTGAAGTCATTTAATTTAATCTCAAGTTTCTGTAATGAGAAAGAATTACTTAATATCGCATTGCTTGTGCAAAAAACTTGGCTTTTATACCTGCTGCAATGAGACTAACTCGGCAGACAGCTCACTGATTTTAGCACTTTTTCCAGCATCAATTTCTTCCAAAGTGCAAAATGACTGCTTCAAGGTGGTTATTTCACAAACTATGTCATTTGCATTTGATTTTGCCTCTTGAAGCCTAATAGAAATGGTTTAAAGTAACTTTCTCAGCAATAATTAATTTGATGCAACTTACTGATTATTTAGCTGAGCAATAACCTTGTCTTTTTCATCAATCAATTTTGCATGCTTTTCTTTCTCATCTGCGAGATGGTGCTGCAGTTCCGTGAAAGCTTCCAAGCGCTTTTTAAATAAATATAGCAGTTAATAAAAAGGAAATTAAAAAAAATTAACAATGTCAAATACTATTTGAGATAAAAAATTAAAGAATTTAATTAGATTTTAAAATTTATTTTCTACCTGGCAAATCTGTTCTTGCAATTCAGCTTTTGATGCCTCTAAGCCTTGGATTTGAAGGTTTTTCTCAGCAAGCTGCTCAATCAGCTTTTCATTTTCACAGTTTTTAACGGCTATAGCACCCTCAGCACTTGCAACGGTTTCCTCATGCACTTTAGTTAGAGCAAGGAAATCATCCATGGTCTTTTCCTTTTGACTCTTTTCCTTTTGATCTAAAATCCATATTTAAAATAAAAATAACAAATGAAAGAGACTTTGTCACAAACATATTATCAGAAGCCCATCTCGTTGTTCTGCAATCTTCAGCAAGTTTTCTTGATAGTCTTTTGCCTTTTCTGTTAAAGTTTCCAGTTCCTGCAGGTATTCAATCTGCACTTTCTTGATCAGATCTTTCTCCTCGACGCATTTTTGCATGACACTTGAAAGATGGGTAGTGTGTTGCTGGAGAGTGTTGCAAATGCTTCTTGTTGCATCAATCCTAGGTGAAAAATTGTATTATATGTGAAGAATAGATAAATGTTTATTTATACTTGATGCCGATGTTGCTGCGTTTCAGCACCTCGTACTGAAGTCTGTGGGTAAGCGCCTCGGAGTGCTGTTGCTGAGAAACCATGCTTTCATTCTGTTGCTTGATGGCATCTTGGTACTCGGCGATCTTGATGTCCCTCAGCTTGATCTCGCTCTCTAGCTGCACCTTCATCTTGACTACGCTCTCCGCAGTCTGCTGCAACTGGCTTGCTAGGCCGCCGCTTTTTACTCGCATCCGGTCGGTCTCTTGCTGCATGATGATCAGATGATTAGGCACTCTATTCGTTATTGGCACCTGCAAACCTGCCGATAAAAACGAAATTTAACATTTTGTTATAATATAAAGAAGAGATAGATAATTTAAGTACTTTTTCTCAGCATAAAGAATAAAATTGAGTACATAATGTTATTTATGTGTGTTCATAATGTATGTAGCTGTAGGCGGAATTTTGCGGACCTTCAGCAAAATCCCTCCCCTTAAAATCAACCAAAAATGATGCGAGGATCTATATGTACATGGATATTTTCACCCGTACGGTTCCTCACGACATGATTATACATCAAAAGACGAGCATCAACCTACAATTCGCCTGTTATTTTGCTTGATAATGTGAGCCTAAAAACTCGCAATTTGCAGCTTGCATGGCGCAGATCAAAGCAGTCTTTTTGAAGAGGCATTCAGAGCAGTGTGAGTACATAATGTAATAGGTTTATTTTGTCGATTTATGGATATTTTGAAATAATTCTTGTTTTTTCTCATTTATCTTCTGCACTACATAATATCTCGTGGTATAATTATGCGATAAGCGCGTAGAATTTCGATTTAGTGGACCTTCGCGTGGAACTTTCCGGATTCAAAATTCAAATCTCTTTCAGGAGAAAAAACATGAACTATGCATGTATGTAAAGAATTACGATTTATGACGACAAAATGTAATTATTGAGCAAATTTACTACTTCCGCATTGCGCTACATTACCGAGATACAGACCTGCCGAGAATTAAAATTGGTTTGATCAGTTTCCAAGAGGAAGCGACATTAAAATTCTTGGTTATGGTTTGTCGTTGCTCAGAAAAGCTCTGCTCGATTGGTTAAGCCACACCCACTTCCCCTGTTGCCGCTTTTTTTTTATTTTGTGTATGTGTTGACGTAATTTGATTCAACGATGTATTTTATCTTCCAATAACCATGCTGATTTGGGAGACGTAAGCCGTCATTTTTTGCGAGGGAAAATGTTGAACAGAAAAAACATAATTTTTTCAATCATTTTTTTCTTTTTACATTTTTACATTACAAATTAAAATTATGTAATGTTGTTAATGTCCGCAAAACTAGTTTAGAAATATTTTTTTTAATAGATGAAATTTATTTAAAAATATTTTAAGTGAATTATTCATGTTTATTCCGGTTTATTCATTTGTCCAAAAGTCGCATTACAAAATTCTACATATATCGGAATAAAATCTACTCTTGCTACGTAAACGTTGCATTTGATGGCCCCAAAGAGGCACCAAGATTTTGCAAAAAGACCTCATATTTGTCTTGGTTGTCTATGGAAAAAAATTTAACTCACCATAGTCACCCACCGAATGCAATTCTGTGTGTGATGTGAAATTAATATCATTTAGGTTTATTATCATGAACATTAGATGAACATACCTTATATAATAATTTAGCATAAGCTAGTTAATAAGAACATTTTTAGCTTTGCTCCAAAAATTGCCATTAATTTTGATATCAAAATTTGGTCTGTGAAAAACATAATTTTGTTATTTAATTACTAAGCTTTTTTCATCAGATTTTATATCAAGCAATTACTAAACAAATACATTATTCATGCCGATTCATGCATATTCAAAAATAATTTATTTAACATTTTAAAATTATAATCAATATAATTAAAAAAAACTGATAATAATAAAAATAATAAGAGAGAACAGTAATATAATATATACTATATTATTTACATTAATTTACAATGACTTTAAGTTTATAATTATGTTGTATTATTTCAAAATAATTTGGTTTGAATTCATTAATATTGATCAGTTTCCCAATTTGTTTGTGTGTTCTCTTGAGAGTGACAAACCATTCTTCAGGCCGAGTAATCTGCTCTTTGCCAATCGTTTCGCCAGTCACCGGAGACAAAAGGGCAACAAACAAGGGGGTGCGCAGTTAGTCTCTTTGCTGTGGGGGTGATAAATCACAGCCATTACCGGCGGCGCGCTCGAACAAAAGAGAGTCTGATGATGAGGGAAATAATAATGAAAAGGTCGCTGGAATTATGATTTATTGCACATCCTCTGGCGCGCGCGCGTTAAAAATGTAAAAATAATGACATTCCTTATCTATCATCGCTCTCACTCAGCGCCGCTAATACACTGTCTTTTATCCGCGTGCTTCTTTTACCCCGCGCGTCATTTCTCACCCCGGCCGCTCTCTGACGCGCGAGTAGTGAGTGGAGGCGGCGGCGGCGGCGGCTATGATAAATGACGTACTCCCAGTAATTGCCTTCTAAGTTATGGCTTATAGCGGCTATGAAATATGGTATCGCTCCACACGCAATTACTAGCGGGTTATTTATCTTGTTGGCTGCCTCTCTCTCTTGCTCTCTCCTGCGACCAAAAAATGCCGAGAGAGAGAGAGGGTGAAAGCCGTGTGCCCCACTCAAGGGCGGAAGGGGCTTCGCTGCACACCCTGCCCCATTGGATATTCATAATCATGCGTGAGAAAAGTGGCACCTTGGAATTAGCACTAGATTTTTGCTCCCGAGCCAAGAGGGGACTCGGGATTAAATTTATCCTCCCTGTCGAGACCAAATATTCAAAATTGTGCATCCGCAGGGATTTTTCAGAAGGATTTTTATAGCCACTCAGGATATGTGCAGATGCGCCTTGATTATAAAATCAAAGTTCGCTACTTCCCCTCTACCCTAATATTTATGATGTTTTCAACTGTGATGAATTGTTTGAAAACATAAACAATATAAATTAATATGAATCTCGGTTGATTCTCCTAAAACACTATTTTTTATATGCATTTTTTTTAATTTTTAATAAGAAACGAGTAAAAATCATCAAGGAAGGAGGGAATTGCCATTATGGAATGGGATGTTTATTCAACATTTTAACTGTAGGTGTGCAACATTAATTAAGATATATAAATTACGATACGATAAATTATATGATGCCATTAAAAGCCATTTTTTTTCTTTAGCACTTTAAACTAAATATTTGAAATTAGAAAAAAGTAATTTTATAAATTGAAAGGAGGGGGATTTTTTTTAAGTTGGCCCAGTTCCCAAAAGGGTTGGATGAGAAATTTTTAATTTACAACACGCAGCAGTACCAGTGCGGGAAATGAATGGGCAGGCGGTGGAAAAATACACTTTAGAGCGCGAAAAGGTGAAATATGAGATTCGAGTCTCGGTTGAAATTAAATCCAGCCTCTCTCGTGCAGGCAGCTCTCTTTGTGATAATAATGGTGAGGCGCATCTCGCTGAGAAATAAATAATAAATTTCATTAATATTCTGACACGCTTCTGCACGGTGGCGGCGGCAGCAGCAATCTTATATATTTCTTGTTGTTGGCGGCGGCGATTATTTACAACTGCTGGTGGGAAAGTGAAAGCAGGCCATTTTTCATTTTGACTCCTCTTTCTTCTTTTCCTTCTCTCTACACAACGTGGCGCGGCATATCACTTTATCCAAGTTAAGCCATTTTTCTCCACCGCCACAACTTCTTCTCACTTTTCTCTTCCTCTCTCTCTCTCTCTCTCTCCGGGTGCGCGGCGCGTGTGACAGCGCTGAAAAGGATGGCGTTTTCATGCCGACGCAGACAGGAAGGAGGAGGACGCGGTTTTGGCCAAATTTTGCCTTGTCTCTTTTTTGCCCTGCCAGACGACAGACAGTCCAACAAATAACGCACCACAGTGCGTTTTTCGCGCAGCTGCTGCGTCGGCAAAAAGATTTGCATTATTTGCTCAACTCTCGCCCTCGCGCTTTGATTTACTTTGCACACATCATTAAATTGAAAAAGATGAAACAAAATTATTTAACTACAAAGTTCTCATAGATATGAAATTTTACCAATCATTTTAATGTGTGCTTGATTTGTCATTGAATTAATTTTACAGAGGATCAAACAAAAAAAATTACTTAAAAAAATTTAAAAAAACTTACATTTGGCTATATTTAGCCCGTTTACATTACATTGAGAGAAAAGTTAGCTTGGAGTTAGGCTGGTTCTCTCAGTTTTTCAATTTAAATAGCATTAAATTGTAAAAACATTTGCAAATAGTTTTTATATTTTCCTCCGTCAAATTTAAATTTTTTATTGATAATAAAATAGGGTTGCAAATTAAAACTGAAACTTGTAGCCAATTATTATCTATTTTTAAATTTAAATGAAAAAATAAAATAAAACTAAAGTCGCCTATTATTTATTTTTTTATAGTTCCCTGAATATGGTCTGACCCACATTTTTAATAAAACACATTTTTCTCACTTACTTTGCAAAACAAATAACTGATATTTCCCAAAGCTAAAAAAGCAATATTTTTTATCGTTATCAAGTTCAAAATTTCCTGTATGTAAACAAACAACTTCTACAAAAAATAAAGTCTGTATTTTAAAACAAATTTGTTATTCAAAGTGTTATAATCAAGAGTTTTAATAATACTAAATGATGACATTGAATTTAATTAAATAGGCTGTTTCTGTATTTAAGCAATAGGGAATCTGTAAAAATAATGTATTTTCAAGTTATTCCGATTTCACTCAGCAACAACAAGCCAGTTGGCGCCGCAATCTGGATGGGCAAACGAAGCGGTGGCTGGTGCGAAAGTGACTGACACATCGCATGCGGAGTCTTATAAACGTCTGAGCAGTCTTACGGGAAAGAGTTTTACAATGACGTGTTAAGATCCAATTTTCATGACTGCGGCTGTACGTTATCAAATAGAGACGTGAGTGTGATTAATGTGCGGGCGGGCGATCATTCTTCGGCGGGAGCGAGGGCGAGCGAGGGTTGAGTGACGTCGATCCCCTGGCTGCGCACGACGGCGGCAACCCGCAGAGCAAATGTGCCAACCTGATTGCATAACGCAACACCGACCGACCGAGTCTGGCCGCAGACGCCCCCGTCTAAACGCCGCTTTCAGTTCCAGATCAGCGCCGACCGAAATTGCCTCTTGAGCGTCCGTCACTCCGTCCACCCGATGTGACACCTCACCAAATGACAGAATGCTATAATTGATTCTAATGAACCGCCTGGCCAAACCTAATCAGATAACATGTTCAAATCAAGCCTGCAACAGAACAGAATCATCAAAACCTACGTTTTGCTAAACATGAATTTTGGAGGCATTAGTTCGATAAAATGAATTAGGTTTTTCAAAGTTGAATATACACATGTAATTTTTGTGCGTAATAATTTAAGTTTAAAATAATATTATAAATATAATTTGATTTAAATGTAAATTTTTGAACTTAAATTTTTTTATTTGCGACTAATTATATATTTTTTAAATATATCTTTTTTGGCAAGAAAATTTAGATGATAATTTTGGTTTTTAAGAGGATGCAATGTAAAGTGCAATTATGTTTAAATTAACAATGAAAAAATAAATACTATGTGTATTTGCATTGGAAATTGGAACTATAGGAGGTGCCATTAATAATGATAGCTTGAAATTTGAAAATTTTGTTGCGGTAATATAGTTGAATTAATAATATTAAACTACAACATGTCAATGTGAACTAAGAATTAAGCAATTTATTTATTTTGAAAATAAATTATGTACTGCAAATAAGTTACTTATATTCAAGACAGCAATATCAATAGTTACTTATTGCTTTTTTTCCTTTTTTTATGGCATTGCGTACCATACCATAAGATAAATTTATTTTCTAGATTTTGCAAGCTTTTTATAAAAGAGATTTATATTAATCAACATGCACTAATACATATTTAAACACTGAAAAGGTATAATCCGTATAATCAAATGTTTGTCTTGTCTATTTTGATCTTTCAGGACATTAATATTAAGGGACCATAAAACTGAAAATTTAGGACAATTTAATTTGGGTGTTTTGAT